ACATTGTCTTTATATGATCAATGTATCCACAAAGTTTTATTATCCTTGTTTAAATGCAAGTAAATAAATGTTGCACACTAGACACAAAATTTTAACAAAGGACAATAACTCTCCAATTAAGCAGTTATGGGTACTGAATTAATGAGACATCTCTACCTATGAAGTTTTGTGTTGATACATCTTATAGTTTTTGTGATATGCTGTTGACAAAATTATGATGGACGGATGGCCGGACGGACGAACAACTGAACAGATGACTGGCAAAGCAGTGACTATTTGCTCTTTGCTCTGATTCCCTTATCCCTTTAGGGAGCATAAAAAGAAATAGATTGCTCCAGCTCTCACCACTTTAATTCTGGTGAAACAAATGGCTGTGACAGCTTTGAGAACATGTACTGTTCTGATGAGGTGAAACAAATGGCTGTGACAGCTTTGAGAACATGTGCTGTTCTGATGAGTTGAAACAAATGGCTGTGACAGCTTTGAGAACATGTGCTGTTCTGATGAGGTGAAACAAATGGCTGTGACAGCTTTGAGAACATGTACTGTTCTGATGAGGTGAAACAAATGGCTGTGACAGCTTTGAGAACATGTACTGTTCTGATGAGGTGAAACAAATGGCTGTGACAGCTTTGAGAACATGTACTGTTCTGATGAGGTGAAACAAATGGCTGTGACAGCTTTGAGAACATGTGCTGTTCTGATGAGGTGAAACAAATGGCTGTGACAGCTTTGAGAACATGTACTGTTCTGATGAGGTGAAACAAATGGCTGTGACAGCTTTGAGAACATGTACTGTTCTGATGAGGTGAAACAAATGGCTGTGACAGCTTTGAGAACATGTACTGTTCTGATGAGGTGAAACAAATGGCTGTGACAGCTTTGAGAACATGTACTGTTCTGATGAGGTGTGTTACCCCTCTATGTTGTACTATCCTTATGTTATACAAAAGACCAGCAACAAGGTGAAACAAATGTTGACAGCTTTGAACACATGTACAACTGATGATAACAAATGGCTGTGACAGCTTTGAGAACATGTACTGTTCACATGAGGTGAAACAAATGGCTGTGACAGCTTTGAAAGTAATGTAATCTAATTCTGATGAGGTGTGTTAATGTTGTACTATCCTTATGTTATACAAAAGACCAGCAACAACCGTTCTCAATGTACAAATGTTGGAGAGCATTAACACAAGTTACAACAATGATAACATGTATGGCCTGAGTATCGAGCTTAACAAGTTACTCCTTCCACGGCCACACCAGGACTGACTCTATTTGCTGTGATCTTACAGTTTATCCTAAAGTAATTATAATCTAATTCTGATAGGGAAAGTGTCTTCTACTGATCTACAATTAAACCGTGAACAGTTAATGTTTCACTGGTGGAGAGCATGTCCAGCCAATGTTTCACAGCATGATTCTGACACCAAGGTGACCGCAATTAAACTATCTGTCTGATAAGCTAGCCAGTCACTTTAAGATTTATCACAAATTATGTTCTTCACTTGAGTAACAAATTTCATCATTAACAAGGTGAAACAAATGGCTGTGACAGCTTTGAGAACATGTACTGTTCTGATGAGGTGAAACAAATGGCTGTGACATCTTTGAGAACATGTACTGTTCTGATGAGGTGAAACAAATGGCTGTGACAGCTTTGAGAACATGTACTGTTCTGATGGAAAGCAGAATGGCCTAATTTGACAGCTTTGATAAAGTTTTATAAATAATATAATGAAGAGAAATCTCCACATGTTAGTAATTCAGCATGTCTCCAAGTCTTAATTTGGATATCTCCGAATCTTACATTTTGTTGAATATTGCTTGATGGTTTTTAACTATCACTAACTTGAAGGGAATGCAGACCCTCATCCACTTTACTTTCTAATATTCTTCCTGTTTAGTATATAGCACAGATCTAGATGTAATTTAAATTTAAATAAGGCTTTCAGAGAAATAGAGATCAGAAGGTATAGGTTTAAATCAGCTGTATATTGATATGTACTCGCTTCAGTTCACATGTATAGACTTGGAGAAAATCTATATCAAGTGCACATCATGAAATGATGGTTAGGGACTGGGGTCACGACCTTTGATAGATTTCTTATAGATGTATACAATAACTTCTGATGTATATCTGTATGTATATATTTTCTTTCCAGACCTCTTATATATTGTACAAATTTGGTCGAAATGAAAAGAAAGATTTGCCTTATAAAATTGTGTATACTGTGGTCAAAAAGAAACTAAAACGACAATTCAAATGTCCGCTCTGTAAATAAAGTTTTTGTTGCAATTTTGTCTTGTAAACATGAAATGAAATATGGTCTGCTCTTTCTATTATTATTTTATCATTATTTTGCCATTTTTAATTAACTATGAGCTAGAACTGGTCCCTCAGTATTAACATCCATGTCTCATCTCAAAACTTTGAAGTCATTGATAGCTCTTGTATTCCATTCTTAAATTTCACAAAATATTATGAACCTCTCAAACACCATGTCTTTTACATTGTATCTTAATTTGAATAGTGACTGATGTTTTGTAAAGATTTATAGAAATTTTATACTCCTGGAATGTAGAATGTTAAAAAAAATTCTCATCAATAAATTTCAAGACAAAACCAGAAATTTGAGTACTGAAAATTCTTGAAACTAATTATTGTAGATGTGTGAGATTTAACACCAGAAGGTGTAACTGAAGTCTTTCATAATATACTATAAATATACATGTGTAAGAGTTTAAACAGATTTATTTACATAAAGTACATATAAACAATCAACGAGGGGCACACAGATCCCTGTTACCAAACTACCGCTCACGAAGACCCGGAAGATTGGCCAAACGCTCAGATTTGACACACAAGTTTGTTGGTTGATGGATTTCACATCTGTACCATTCGCTGGCTTAGGAACGTACCTATCCCAGTAAGAGAGTAACAATCAGGGGCAGTAACTCTGCCCGATAATCCCAACACATGTTTAAGGGGTCATTTTATTTTCCTGATTTTTGTGCTGAACCTTTTTAAAGAAAAATATGATTGTTTATGATAGTTTTCATATCATTTATAAAACAATGGTTATTATGGATTTTCAAAGGCATTGTTAATTTTACTTTTTTAAAATATGATAATGCGCTAAAATTTGATTCCACCAAATTGAGTACTTTTGCAGTATTTTCTGGGTTATAAGCTGCACCGGTATATATGGCTCAAAGTAATTTTTTGTTTGATTCATACACCAGCTACTCTGGAACATAAGCCACTAACTTTCTTACCAAGTGGTAGCTGTTACATTGACCAAGTTTGTTGTTAAAACTGACAATGAAGGGCAATCTATCAAGATCGTCAGTGAAACATTTAATAAAGTTTGCAAAAATTACACACAGATAATTCTATAGTTTATTGATGTATTTCATATGATATAAAATAACAAATATAGAACTCGTTTGCCTTGGGTGCCTTCACAGATTGTCTACACACAGATATAGGGCCTGATGTTACATACAGTTTACTAAACATTCTCTCCATCAGTGTCTGTACTGTTAAGTATTAATGAAGGCCCTTACGTGCTGACCAAATTCTTATAGTCCCATATTATTTCTTCTTGTAAGTTATACAAAGCCATTCATATTGTAAACAAACATGGCATTTTTTTTTAGAATTTGACCTATAACCCGATGACCTATCAATACCCAGATACAAAAGGCTATTGTAAACTTCTGCTATGACTTCAAAGTACGCGAAAGTCCTGAAGACATTATTGTAATTCATATTAAAAGTTATGATAATTAAATCCACGAGAACGTTATTTTTATTTCAATCTTCAAAACCATCCTGTATATGATTGCAAATGACAGTTCTAGACGATCAGTCACAGACATGTGATTGGCAGGTACTTGATAAACAAATCAGTTCACACTTGCACATGTGTACTAGTATGTTTTCTGTTTTTGTATTTGATTTCATCCTACTACCTATAAGCCGCACACCTGACTGACGAGGAAAAAAGGTTCTGTTTATAATGCATAAATTACGGTACTGTAAAATCATAATTTTTAGGGGGCCCAATTTTCATGGATTTGCAAGAAAAAATCAATATTTCATGGACACTTGGTTTCATGGATGAGTATAAATCAATAAATCTACTCGTTTTAAACAATTCATAGATATCTGACTTCATAGACTAAGAAAACCCTCATCTAGCACAAAAATCATTAACCGCACAGTATTATAGACAAACTGAAAAGAAAGCACCTGAATTAGTGTTTAAAGAAGGATGCAGACAGAAAGAGTTTCCAAGACTTTGTCTGATTTTAAAAATTTCCCCAAATTTTCTATTGTTTCTTGTACCCTGGAGGTGTTTTAAAATTCGCCACTTCAAAAGAAGTGCAAAAAATTTTTTTTATCTTTTTTTTTTTAAAATTCCTAAAACATATCTTCATCTATTGTTCTGTTGTCTATTGGTCTGTTTTTCTAGCCCACATTTAAAACTCCTGCCAAGTTAGTTCAGAGAGTAATCTGTCAGCAGTAAAAGTGTTTTATTAGGTTAAAGATCAGGGAAAGGATATTTGTCTTAACGATCTTGAGGGAATATGGCAGGAATGATTCCAGATCATTCAAACCAATTGGGTGAGAATATAGGCCATCACACTATTTGTATATGCAAGGTATTTGTGATTTGAATAATGCTGGTATAAAAATCTTACCACAGGTGATTGGTTGTTTGATGAAAAGATTTCAGAAAAGTTTTATGATTCAGTTAAAATTGTCTTGATGTTAATGTAATTTTAGTAGTATAGGATCAATAATGATATCAAGAATTTAAAAGTAGTTTCTCTTCTTATATCTGGCTCATCTTGATTTAGGCTTTATTTACATGTAAGTCGGATGATCACTGTATTTAAACATCAATCAACTTAGAGTCAGATACAAAATGTTGTGTATTTTCTAGATTTTTAAAAATTTTTATTTGACAGGTCCTCTTGCTCGTGAGATGCTGCGCCTGTATGACACCTTCAGCAGTGTCATTAAGTTCACAGAACTTCCCGACCCCTCAGAAATATGGGATCTGCAACAACTGGTTGGGGAAGGCACATATGGAGTTGTCCATTTGGCTAAACACAAGCAAACAGGTCAGTCTATTTTATTGCATTTAGCAAAAACAGGTCTTTTTGTAATAATGAAGGGAGGCCATGTTAGTCTGTAATGATTAAGTTATCCATAACTGGGTGGTCTTGGTTTGTCCTTTCAGAAAAAAATGTTTAAAAAATAGGTCTGGCCATATTAATGATAGTAAGCCATGAATTTTATACTGGCCTGGATGAATTGTTCAGTCTGACAAAAGTTTAAAAAAGAAAAACAGGTCAGGCCATATTAATGATGGGATGCACATGCTTTTCCGCTGGAAGGATTGTTCAGTTGGACAAAAAGTCAATCGGAAATGTAGATACCTAAATAGAAGCCATGATTTCTGGTTGATAACAGGTCAGTTTGACCAAAGGAAGGGCAGCTTTTAAGCAGGATTATCATTGTACAAATAGAAGTCGTCAATTCATTGTAATGGCGAGGAGCAATGTTGCACTATTTATATCAAATGTAAAATTGCATCAATAATCTTATTTTCACAATTTTGATGCTGAAAGTTATGTGGTAAAATATTACTGTGGTTATGTGGTAAAATATTACTGTGGTTATGTGGTAAAATATTACTGTATAATAAAACATTTTCCACATGTTCTTTATATAACAGTTTTTGTAGATGTTCTAATTTATGCCAAAAAGTGACTAATGAATAATACATGTGCTAATTTTCATTGTGTCTAATTAAGAATATTTACAATTGACTGGTATAAGCCCTGAGGATGCCCATGCACTGAAAAGTTACTAAAGTGAGGGGTGAGCTTTTCTCAGAACATGCATAGACCTATATGTGTTAATATATGGTACCTGGTTCACCTGGTCTGTGTTTTCAGCCATATGGGCTTATTGAAAGGAACAAAAGATGGTGTTTAATGTCAGTGACTCTCCGGATTCCGTGTTTACAGCCCTAATTGGTGGGACAACAGATGTTGTTTAATGTCAGTGACTCTCCGGATTCCGTGTTTACAGCCCTAATTGGTGGGACAACAGATGTTGTTTAATGTCAGTGACTCTCCGTATTCCGTGTTTACAGCCCTAATTGGTGGGACAACAGATGTTGTTTAATGTTTGTGATTAATATTCTTGTTTTGTTTCGGAAAAGATTGATTTAAAAAAATCTCATCAAATTTCATGAAATCAGTAGAATACAATTGAAAATTAATGCATTCATAGTCCTACTGTTGGTTACTTCCTGTACGGTTCATAGTCCTACTGTTGGTTACTTCCTGTACGGTTCATAGTCCTACTGTTGGTTACTTCCTGTACGGTTCATTGTCCTACTGTTGGTTACTTCCTGTACGGTTCATAGTCCTACTGCTGGTTACTTCCTGTACGGTTCATAGTCCTACTGTTGGTTACTTCCTGTACGGTTCATTGTCCTACTGTTGGTTACTTCCTGTACGGTTCATAGTCCTACTGTTGGTTACTTCCTGTACGGTTCATAGTCCTACTGTTGGTTACTTCCTGTACGGTTCATAGTCCTACTGTTGGTTACTTCCTGTACGGTTCATAGTCCTACTGTTGGTTACTTCCTGTACGGTTCATAGTCCTACTGTTGGTTACTTCCTGTACGGTTCATAGTCCTACTGTTGGTTACTTCCTGTACGGTTCATAGTCCTACTGTTGGTTACTTCCTGTATGGTTCTTTGTCCTACTGTTGGTCACTTCCTGTATGGTTCATAGTCCTACTGTTGGTCACTTCCTGTATGGTTTATTGTCCTACTGTTGGTCACTTCCTGTATGGTTTATTGTCCTACTGTTTGTTACTTCCTGTATGGTTTATTGTCCTCTTGTTGGTTACTTCCTGTATGGTTTATTGTCCTACTGTTGGTTACTTCCTGTATTGTTTATTGTCCTACTGTTGGTTACTTCCTGTATGGTTCATTGTCCTACTGCTGGTTACTTCCTGTATGGTTTATTGTCCTACTGTTGGTCACTTCCTGTATGGTTTATTGTCCTACTGTTGGTTACTTCCTGTATTGTTTATTGTCCTACTGTTGGTTACTTCCTGTATGGTTCATTGTCCTACTGCTGGTTACTTCCTGTATGGTTTATTGTCCTACTGTTGGTCACTTCCTGTATGGTTCATTGTCCTACTGCTGGTTACTTCCTGTATGGTTTATTGTCCTACTGTTGGTCACTTCCTGTATGGTTTATTGTCCTACTGTTGGTTACTTCCTGTATGGTTTATTGTCCTACTGTTGGTCACTTCCTGTATGGTTCATTGTCCCACTGCTGGTTACTTCCTGTATGGTTTATTGTCCTACAGTTGGTTGATTTCTATATGAATTGGAGTATGAATTGTGGCAAAGCAAAGGTATGGATTTATTTTGAATTCACTGTGTGAAGGAAAGTAAACCTAATATGCATATCACTACATTGTCAATATACCTGAAAAATGAAAACACATTTAAATGTTTAGTTTATGGTTCGTAAACGTCCAACTCACTAAAGGTATGTAATTAAATTCAAGGCTGTTAGACATTTTGTCACATACCACTGTGATCCTGTATATTACCCAATATTTGTGTCTCCTTTACTGCATAACACATAGGAGGCAATATGTATTTCAAAATCTTGTGGCTCCCTTACTGAACACCATGTGGGAAGACAGCAACATGTTGAAGAATAATTGTCGCCCCCTTCTTCAATCAATTTAATTAATTTGGTGGAAGGACAAATTTCAGATGTGTTCTAATTGTGATAAGGTTTTGGTAAAAAAAAATTCAGTATTTTGATGTTAAAATGGAATTTTTAAAATTTCCGGGTCTATAACATTTTATCTTTAACAAATATTGAAAACACTAAAATACACTATAAATTATATTTCACTAATAAAGACAGTTGATTTAGGTCAGTGCTTTTATTAATGTGTGTATTAATCTTTTACTAAGTACACATAGTAACACAGAGTGATATAGATTTTTTGTCTGGTTTTGTATCTAGTGAATACCATCTCTCTTCAATGGGATCTCAGTGTTTGCTGTGGATTTTAGCAGTGTTTGTTACTACAGTAGGAACAGAGCTGTTTAAGTCCTGTCATCTAGTCATTAGATGACACCATTATTTTATTAGATTTGTGTAAACATTCTCAGTGAATTGTGAGGTATTTAGGTAAATGTAGTAATGGACTAAAGTCACTTACATAATGTCGGATCTGTATCTATCTCAGTGATCTTTTAATATCAGTTGTCAAATGATACGTTTGATGTAGTCAGGATGTCTTGCTTCCACTTTAATGTTACTGTAAGATAATTATCCCACGATGTAAACAAAATACAAGAAAAATCTATGAAAAATCCATTGTCCCTCTCTACATGGTATGTCTTCATCACCTTTTGAATGAAAACACAACAAACTTAGGCATAGCATCTATATTGCTACATATTTCCTGCCTCTCTTGAAAAAGCATTGACTTGTTCTTTGTAAGTTACTCCTAATCCATGATTATACACTTTGTAACCCTAAGTTACCCCTGGGATACTGTAGGACTAATCCAGGCTGTAAAGTCCTAAGTTACCCCTGGGATACTGTAGGACTAATCCAGGCTGTAAAATCCTTAGTTACCCCTGGGATACTGTAGGACTAATCCAGGCTGTAAAATCCTTAGTTACCCCTGGGATACTGTAGGACTAATCCAGGCTGTAAAGTCCTAAGTTACCCCTGGGATACTGTAGGACTAATCCAGGCTGTACCCCTGGGAAAGGACTAATCCAGGCTGTAAAGTCCTACCCCTGGGATACTGTAGGACTAATCCAGGCTGTAAAATCTGTAGGACTAATCCAGGCTGTAAAATCCTACCCCTGGGATACTGTAGGACTAATCCAGGCTGTAAAATCCTAAGTTACCCCTGGGATACTGTAGGACTAATCCAGGCTGTAAAATCCTAAGTTACCCCTGGGATACTGTAGGACTAATCCAGGCTGTAAAATCCTAAGTTACCCCTGGGATACTGTAGGACTGTAGGACTAATCCAGGCTGTAAAATCCAGGCTGTAAAATCCTAAGTTACCCCTGGGATACTGTAGGACTAATCCAGGCTGTAAAGTCCTAAGTTACCCCTGGGATACTGTAGGACTAATCCAGGCTGTAAAGTCCTAAGTTACCCCTGGGATACTGTAGGACTAATCCAGGCTGTAAAATCCTAAGTTACCCCTGGGATACTGTAGGACTAATCCAGGCTGTAAAATCCTAAGTTACCCCTGGGATACTGTAGGACTAATCCAGGCTGTAAAATCCTAAGTTACCCCTGGGATACTGTAGGACTAATCCAGGCTGTAAAATCCTAAGTTACCCCTGGGATACTGTAGGACTAATCCAGGCTGTAAAGTCCTAAGTTACCCCTGGGATACTGTAGGACTAATCCAGGCTGTAAAATCCTAAGTTACCCCTGGGATACTGTAGGACTAATCCAGGCTGTAAAATCCTAAGTTACCCCTGGGATACTGTAGGACTAATCCAGGCTGTAAACCCCTGGGATACTGTAGGACTAATCCAGGCTGTAAAATCCTAAGTTACCCCTGGGATACTGTAGGACTAATCCAGGCTGTAAAATCCTAAGTTACCCCTGGGATACTGTAGGACTAATCCAGGCTGTAAAATCCTAAGTTACCCCTGGGATACTGTAGGACTAATCCAGGCTGTAAAATCCTAAGTTACCCCTGGGTTACTGTAGGACTAATCCAGGCTGTAAAATCCTAAGTTACCCCTGGGATACTGTAGGACTAATCCAGGCTGTAAAATCCTAAGTTACCCCTGGGATACTGTAGGACTAATCCAGGCTGTAAAATCCTAAGTTACCCCTGGGATACTGTAGGACTAATCCAGGCTGTAAAATCCTAAGTTACCCCTGGGATACTGTAGGACTAATCCAGGCTGTAAAGTCCTAAGTTACCCCTGGGATACTGTAGGACTAATCCAGGCTGATACACTTTAAAATCTACATAATGATGATGTCACAATGAAATATCATATTACAGACACTCCTTGATCAAGATAATTGTATGACTTTGATGTATGTGATCTGATACTCTGGGGTCAAAATAGAGGTCAATGTTAATATAAATTGATTTTTCATACTTTTCTGATTACTACCAGATTTTTTTATCCTCAATCTGTCTTTTCATTTTCATCTATTTTTTTCATACACTTCTTCACAGTTATATTCTCTGGTCTGTTAATGTGTGTCAACTCAAAATTCTTAAGTGAAAGATGTGGTATATTTTTCTAATAATAGAATTTTTGATGTAACATTTATTAGAGAAGTGAAGTGTGGAATTAATTTCTCATAAATATCAAACAATAAACATGTTCAGTAGGATTGATACGTGAAAATTTTACCTCGTTTCATTTTCAGTCATTTTGTTCATGAAAAGCGAGGACGAATTTCACATCGAGGCAAATTTTTGTTACTTATATAAACCCTTTTAGGTAATCCTCAGAGGTTGAAATGAATATGAGGTGAATTGATCATTATTGCACAGGGTTGAAAATATACCAACAAGTCCCTGATAATTAACACGAGTCAAGTGAGATCGAAGGATAATTTTGTTTACATAAGACTTCATATATTCTGTAGGGGAGGTTGTTGCTGTGAAGATACTTGAAGCCATTCATGAACTAATTGAAGAAATTGAAGAGGAGTATGTCATCCTCCATGACCTTGGCAATCACCCCAATATGCCCAAGTTCCATGGGCTCTACCTCCGTCAGTCAGAATTTCGCGGGGAGGATCAGTTGTGGATTGCTATGGAGGTTAGTTGTGCCTTTTTTCTCTTCACAATTCAATGCCTTTTGTCATTCTTATCGTTAGAAAACTCAAAGCTGAGTTCTTTTTCTGGCCGGAAATGTATGTCACAGCATTAGGGTAGATTTCTAAATCTATTTGGTGTTTGTTGACCGGTTTTTGCCCATTTAGTTGATTTTCTATACAACTCAACGTGTAAACAACAGCATCAGGGTGGGATATGAAGGAACCTCAAAGCCACTCAGGAACTAACTCCCTATACCTTACTGTGAATATATATATAAACATTACTATTGTTAATGAATATGTTTCTTAAATATTCATGGTGACTGTGTGAATATATGTTAGGAATATTCATAAGGAATATCTGTCGAGTCCATTACCACTGTATGACTGTATATTATGAATATTCATTACCACTGTATTAATGTATATTATGAATATTCATGTCATGTGTCATTATATATATCATATATTAATGGATGTGATGAATATTCATTACTTTATGAATGGGTATCACTTTATGTTGTTTATTCATGTAATATCATGGTTATTACAATACTGACTATGTTTCATACAAATGTACATTACAGCTTTGCGGGCGAGGCTCTGTAACACATCTGACAAGAGAACTATTAAAACAAAATGCTGGCCTGGATGAGAAATTAATTGCACATATCATAAGTGAAACATTGAAAGTGCTCGTTCATCTGCACACAAATCATATCGTTCATCGTGACATCAAAGGTCACAACATCCTGATCACAGATGAAGGAAAAGTCAAACTGATAGACTTTGGTAAGTACAAATCTAGAATCAAATTCATGAATTTAGAAAGAATTGCATTGGGTATAGAATTGTTTTGTGTACGACTTTTCTAAACATTGTTGTAGACAAAAAGTTTTATTGTGAAAATTTTCTGAACACTTTTGTACATGTACACAAAGAATTGTATTGTGTACAACATTTCTTTACACTTTTGTACACATTGTTTTCCTGATAAGTGAATTCATGAGATCAAAAATGCTTGATCCAAGTGTCCTGTTCTGTTTTGAGACCCTGAGATCTCTGTGGACATTCCTTCACGCAAAGTGTAAGCTGAAACTGCAATGATTTCAATTTTTTAGCCATTTAACTCTGACCTTGGAATCCTGACCTTGATATCTTGAACTGGGAACCCCGAACTTGTACCCCAACCTTGAAACCTGACCTTTGAACCCTGACCTTGAATCCTGACCCTGAAACATAACCATTGATTGTTATTATATACCATATTAACAACAATAAGCCATTGACTGTTAATATGCCCATCCATATAAAAAATGACTTGATTGGTTTTTAGTAAAATTTTGACTTGACTCCCATGGTTCTTATTTCCTGATAACTTGAGTAAATAAGATTTAGATATGAATGAAGCAGTAATGGATGATATCTGTTAACTCCGTGTTTATCTACATGAAAACTAAACTAATATCTGTGATTGAATTGTCCTCTAAAAAGCCCACCCTTACTTTGATACAGCTCGATGGGATTACTGTAGGCTCAAAATAAAGGTATGACTGACATAATAATGGAATGAATTCCATATTTTTTGGTCATGGTTACGAACATCCCCTTCCAGAATTTTATGTCTCCACTCTGTAGTGATCTTGTTTAGTGTTTCTGTTGTTACAGGAATTACTCTCCCTTCTATTAAGGACTATAATTTGTTTCAGACAGAATATGAAACTTACACAAGTGTCCCCACCCCCACCCCTCTGCTCACCTACTACAACCCTGAACCCCTAATCCCGGACCCCAATTCCCAACACTGGACCCCAACCCTCAACCCTAACCCTCAACCCTGGACCCCAACCATCAACCGCGGACCCCAAACCCCAACACTGGACCCCAATCCCGGACTCCAACCCTCAACCCCGGACCCCAATCCCCAAACCCAGACCCCAACCTACAACACTGGACCCCAAGACCAGACCCCAACCCTCAACCCTGGACCCCTACCCTGGACCCCAACACTGGACCTCAACCCTGTACCCCAACACTGGACCCGAACTCTCAACACCAGACCCCAACTCCCAACCCTGGACCCGTACCCTGGACCCCAACACCTGACCTCAACCCTGGACCCCAACCCTGGACCCCAACTCTCAACCCCCGACTGCGGACCCCCACCCCAGAGCCTAACCTCCATCCCCGGACCCCAACCCCCAACCCCAGACCCAAACCCCCAGACCCAAACCCAACCCTCAACCCCGGACCCCAACCCCTATCCCCAACTCTTAACCCCGGACCCCAACCCCCAACAATGGACACCAAGCCTGGACCCCAACCCTCAACACTGGACCGCAACCCCCAACACTGGACACCAATCCCGGACCCCAACCCTCAAGACTGGACCCCAACCCCAACCCCCAACACAGGACCCAAAACCCCATCCCTAAACTCCAACCCTCAACCCCGGACCCCAACCCCCATCCCCAACCCTCAACCCCGGACCCCAACCCCCAACACTGGACACCAAGCCCAGACCCCAACCCTCAACACTGGACCCCAACCCCCAACACTGAACACCAAGCCCGGACCCCAACCCCCATCCCCAACCCTCAACCCCAGACCCCAACCCCCAACACTGGACACCAAGCCCGGACCCCAACCCTCAACACTGGACCCCAACCCCCAACACTGGACCCCAACCCCCAACACAGGACCCCAACCATCAACACTGGACCCCAACCCCCAACACTGGACTCCAACCCCACTGTTCTAACCCACAATGTGAAACAAAAATATTTTCCCTGACTTTGTGAATATTGACTGAAAACTGGGCAATATTACAACTGTTGTGAATATGGTATTATGTATGATAAGTTATGAGTAGAAATATTAACTGTGTTAAATATATGTACATATTAAGGCTTCAGTAGAATGTATATAGTTTGTTGACTCTTTTTTAACAGGAGTCTCTACAAGACTGAAGAGCACCAATGACCGCCGTCGCACTTCAGTGGGAACGCCCTATTGGATGGCTCCAGAGGTCAGTAGTATGTAAAGCAGTTCAAGAGGTCAGAGTTTAATAGTTCATAGGTTAAAATATGGCATGTCTGGGTGTAGAGACAAATACAGTAAAGTAGTGAGGGTAATTATGTTTATTTATATTGATGTCAGCTTGAAAAATATCATATATGGGAAGACAAACTACCTTGAAGAATCAAACTATTTAATTGTTTTTCTTTTTCTGGTAAGATCTTCCTTTCAAAGAAACAACTTGTCTTTGAAGTCTTATGAAAACTTGTCTTGGTAGAGAACTCGTATTAAAAAATAACCTGTCTTTGTTGCTGAAAGGTTAATTGCAAAGAAACTTCTTGTTAAAATGTCATTCATGTCTAGTTGTCTGATTGTAGGAAATGAAACTTTATTTATTTTACAACAATGGTTAAACAACTTTTTTCAACTTATATGAATCACCATTTTGAAGCACACAAGGGGTCTAACAGTGGGTCACTAGGTAAAACACATGTGGTCGGGCATATAACCCCAAATCTTTTCATATCTATTCTGGGAATCAAACCCAGGACCCATAAGTGAAAGGCAAATGTATTTGCAATGCATCACACAACCACTCACAACTCATCATTTCTATGAAATAAAATCAACTCAGCGGTATTGCATTAAATATGTTACAGACATGATCACTCAATACAGACATTTGGTTGTGAATTCATTTGGTTTTATGGCAAATTTAATTCAAATTCATCAGTAATTGTTCATCACCATATAAAATGCTAAAAATACATACATGTTTTTGAGCAGAGCTAGAAGTTAAAACATTTCATGAAATTTCATTGCTTGTAGTCCAGTTTGTTAAATGAGAATGTTTTTGTTGTGTTATTTAGAGATTTTAGTCTGTCGTTTGGCGTCTGACGCAAGTTTTTTCTTAAAACAACTTCTTCTCAATAACCAATGGACTAAATGTTTTGAAATTTAGCTAGTATGTTTCCAGTATGAAACCTGACAAAGTTTGCAAAAAGAAATAACCTTGGGTTATATTCAAGGTCACAAGGGTCAAATTTGTTAAAACCTTTAAACAACTTCTTCTCATGAACGAAAAAGCCTAGAGACATGATATTTGGCTGGTATGTTGCAAGGATGAAACCCAACGAAGTTTGAAAAAGAAATGACCTTGACCTGCTTTCAAAGTCACAGGGGTCAAAATATGTTAAGAACTTCAACCAAGTTCTTTTCAGAAACTATTAGGACTAGAGGCATGATATTTGGCTGGTATGTTCCTAGCATGAAACTCAATGAATTTTGAAAAAAGAAATGGCCTTGACCTATTTTCAAGGTCAAAGGGGTCAAACTTGTTAAAATATTTAATCAAATTTTATTAATGAACTGATATTTGATATTTGACTGGTATGTTCCTAGAATAAATCTAGAATGTTCAAGGACACATGGGTCAAGAGACAGGGAGACTTGTAATTCTACCTCTTTTTTATGGGTTATTTTGTAATGCTGATATTATATTATGCAGCGAAACCATAATGTCGGAGAAGGTTGGTATGAACTTGGATGACTTGGTGGGCGTCATATTTGACAGGTTAAGTTTCAGTACATAATCGTGACATGATCCACGATTTAACACAGTACATCCATATCATCATGTATGTCCTCGTACTTACAGCTCATAAAGTATATTTACATTCCAAACGAAAATCTTCTCCCAAAAAAAATCACCGTGTAAGAGATCTGTCAGAGATATGTACACAATATGAGGTCACATAAACTTAGCCTGACTTCCCTCACAGGTGATTAAGTAGAATGACCTACACTTATAAGACATTAGCTATAAGTAGAATCCATTATGTATATAGGGTTGACGGGAGGTGTGAGTAAAATCAACCTGATTATAAGTTATTTCGGTAAAAAACATAAAAGCCATATTTTCAGTGAGGTTGAAGCGTATATTTTCTTTACCAAGTTGGTATTTCTGTTTTATCTATTCTTATTTTTAAAACATATCAACAAAAATTTATTTGAAATTGTAATGAATTCAGGAATTTCCGATGGGATTTTTTTCGCATTAAATATTGCAAAGTTGACCATCCTTTGTTAACCTTTTTATCCAGTGAATATGTTTGAGTCTCAGACCTATTCAACTTTGTGCTCACTGTCTACATGTTTAAAAAATTCTCCAGTAATAAGTGATTTTTTTTAAAGAGATCTTTTCTGTTGAAAAGAACTATAAATGGAATATGAAATGTAACTCTGTGAGAAATAGAAACTTTTGTTACAAGAAGCCTTTATTTATGTGATAAATTTGTGAAGCTGACAATGCATAAGTAAACCTAGTGACTGGATTGTACAGACAGTGAATGACAGGTAGATATACCCGAGGTAAGCTTCATGTACACCACATCTGTGACTTCAGCAGCCAAGCATACATCGTTAATGATCCCCTTAAAGCTTGAATTGTATACATTTTAATACGGAAGTGAAATACAATATTCTAGCAAGTGGTCAGAATTTTCATTTTATCTGTCCAACTCAACATGGAATATTATAGAATTTTCCTGATTAGGGCAGGAATGTTTAAAAATAAGTGATTATTTCATTGCGAGGAGTGTGGATTTATATGGCCAGGTGAACAGTTGAAGGTGTAGCCTTCTAGTTGTAATGGAGGTGTATTTCTCATGTATTACCCTATGGTAAATATGTTTGTGAATAATGAAAATCCAAAGAAATTTATACTCACTCTGAAGATGTGGGATAGTCTACAGACTAAAAGTAAAAGTAAGTACACAATACATATATGTATTTTGAGTACAGGTAAAACTTTGTTTATTTTTATATACTTGTACAGGTAAGATACAGGTATATTTCATATACAGGTAAAAATACAGGTATAACTGTATAAGTAACGGGTAACTATATGTATAAAACTACATGTATAATTTGTTTACAAGTGAAACATTTCTTTTTATGTATATGGGAATAGAATGATTACTTTTATAACAGGTAGATAGATCATAGTGATTTCTACAAAAATAATCCTTTTTATTCGTAATCATTGGTCATACAAGTCCATCGCTTGAAATTCTGCCTTAAAACCTGATGTAGTATTACATGATATGGTTGATATAAGGAGGTGTCATCTTAGAAAGTGTATTCAAAATGGAGCACCAGTGTTTTAGTATATAACCCTCAACCTAACTACACTTTATCATGACCCAGGTAACATTTGTATAATTAATAGGTAAAGTTTAACTGTAGGTAAATGTTTGTATACACAGGCTCTGGTGCCATATATTGTTGACAGTTGTTAACTGGAATTGGCCAGGATTGATTGAAATGAGAATCCTAAAGAACTGAATGTTTAGTGGAGAAATTCAAAGGAAATTCCTAAAGAGTTGAATGAAAGGAGAACTGGCTTGAAAATCTGGGAGAAATGAATTATTTGGGGAAAGGAGAAATAAAATTGAAAAATCCCAGAGAAGTAGACGAATAGGGGAAATTTTGATTTGATAAAAATAGGGCATGACTGGTGCCAGTGTTGTCACAATGTGATAAGTTTGTTGGTATAGAACTTGATATAAACCTATTTATAAACAGCGGATAAATGAAATAATCTGTGTATTGTCAACAACAGATCTATATATATACTTCAGGGATCAGGATACAATACAAATGTATCTCAGTATCTGATGAATGTTTTATTGTGAATTCATACAAATCACTTGACACAAATTCTGTAGTTGTGTACAGAACTGCCGCCCTAAGGATATACTCTTCCTGTCATTCATGTTACACTTAATTGTGTTTGAATATCATATATTACCTGTAATTTTGTCAGTTATCTCCCTTAATTCAAGTTATATCTATTAATTGCATTTTTTTCCTGTAGTTTGGCAAAGAATTGTCTCCCTTTATTAAGAGTATGATGATATATTACCTATAATTTGTGATAGAGGTACTTCTCCTCACTTACAAATTTTAAGTATAATTTATGCAAGGATTATTTCCCTTGATTAAAATCTATTGAATATTTTACCAATAGTTTTGGTAATAAAGTTATGTCCCTTAAGTCTCCTTTATTTTATCTGGTATTGTGTATTGTATACCTTAGTCAAGTTTTGCAAAGAACTAGGTATTTTAATATAAACATCATTGTGACCTGGATAAAGAGATTTCTTTACTTAAGCTGTGTAACATGACTCAACTCGAGAATCTTGGCTTCTGATCATATGGTAATAAGACACGAGGAGAAGAAGAAAAAAAAAAGTAGTCACTTGGCAGTAGATAAGATATTGCCTCTGTGTCATATTGAAATATGTGTCATCCTCTTATGCCTAATCTGAGACACAGACTATTATTGAGCGACCACACCCTTGTAAGACTTGTCCTTGGGCTTGCTACTGGTTGCCATATCCATTGGGGACAAATTGTTCCAAAATGGAATTGATGTATGAACAGTAAAACAGTGGTGGGGCTCTTTAACTTAACATGAAAATCAAATTGTAGAAAATTCTTTTGCCAGATGTGAGCATGGTTATGGTAAAGAAAAGGCCAGGGATTATATAATACATAATTCATGGGTGTATAACTGTGGATGGGTTGTTTCACCATTATACCAAACATCAATATTGCATTATCTAATGTAGTGTGTGTGTGTGTGTGTGTGTGTCTTCACTCCGAGCCATCTGGAGCTGAGAGTGATTTTAATTTGTACCAGATCTTCCAAAATATCCTGAAGTGGAGTCATCTCATAATTACATCTCGTTTGGAACCTGGCAAGAAAGTCATCACTATGGTAGATATTCCAAAAAGTTGATCGTTTTAATTCTTCTGCGATTTTTACTTTCTATGTTTTTTATGTCCCAGGTTTAGGAATGGTTGTGTGCTATTTGTCCATCAATGTTCTGAAGGTTACGTAAGATAAAAAGCTTTTACTTATTCAGAGCTCTAGTGTCTGTAACTGGTGTTCAAAAATAATGTTATATGACCTTTCTTATCATTCTCATCAGCTTTCTAAGCTTCTGAATTTAAGGTTGTCCATTTGAAAGTTTATAACATCCTTCTAAATATTATTGTTAAACAGTAACCATATTCTATGCAAAAAATGACATCACCCTGTTTATGTTACAGCCTAAAATTCTTATCAAAATTACAAAACATTTACCGTGATTGATAAAAACACAGTAACCTGTGCATGGCTTTAGGGGAAAGACTCTGACATCACAGTGACGTGTTATAACATAATATTCAGAACAAAAAAAAATTGTTTTGAAAGAACATTGATGACCTAAACCATTAAACCTCTTGTTGTAATTCTGTCTTGAGCATACAACAAGAATCTGAGGTTTTCTTTTGCTCCGGGGCAAGGAGCAGCTCATGCTGGGAGTGAAATTCTTATTCTATCTGTTGGTAAGTAATAACTAATGTCTAAAGCAGTCTCATTCTGTAATTAGTATCAATGTCTTAGGTCTGTGGAATCAATTTATGGGTTTTAATGTAAACTTATGTCTAAGTTTAAGATTTTTTGAAGATTTATAAACATTAGAATAGGATCTAGCAGCAAATGTCCTGCAGTTTTCCTTTAGTGAAATTGTGTTAAAGTCCTAGACAGAATGTTCACCTTACTGATCTGTCCTTTAATAAACCCTGGAGAACATATCAACTATGGCTCATAGTCAGATGGTGGGCTTATTACAGGACCATAAGCTCATGGGGAACAGCACATATTAGCTCTGGCTCATAGTCAGATGGTGGGCTTATTACAGGACCATAAGCTCATGGGGAACAGCACATATTAGCTCTGGCTCATAGTCAGATGGTGGGCTTATTACAGGACCATAAGCTCATGGGGAGCAACACATATCAACTATGGCTCATAGTCAGATGGTGGGCTTATTACAGGACCAAAGCTTGTGGGGAACAGCACATATTAACCCTGGTACATAGTCAAAGGGTGAGCTTTTTACAGGATAATAAGCCCAGGGACCAACACATAATTAACTCTGGCTTATAGTCAGAGTGTAGGCTTATTGCAGGACAATTTAAGCCAAGGGAGCAACATATAAGCTCTTTACTCGGAGTCACAGGGATGGTATTGTTACAGGGAACAAGACAATAATACCGATTTGAAGTCAGGAGGAAGGGCTTATTACAGGACAAAAAGCACAGGAGGGGGCATGAATGCTTGACCTCTGACTTAGGGAAGAGATGAGAAATGATATAGTACTTGCTACAATGAATTTGTACTTGAATTTCATCATCATCATCATCATCATTGTTATCATCATCAACGTCATCATCATTCTAACTTGTGTTATCAGTTTCACCAGTACCTACACATTCAGTGTGGAGGTGCTGTATTTATTACTGTTATGTTTAAATTCATGTTTAGATATTGTATAAATTCTTACAATAAGCAAGCAATAAGCACAATTCTGATAAAACACCAATATCCACGTACTGTTATATTATTATATACAAACATATTGTGTGAGTCACTACAAAGTTTAATGTGAGTCATTACAGGTTAGTGTGAGTCATTACAGGTAAGTGTGAGTCACTACAGGTAAGTGGGAGTTGTTACAGAGTTAAGTGTGAGTCACTAAAGAGTTTAGTGTGAGTCATTACAGGTTAGTGAGAGCTGTTACAGAGTTTAGTGTGAGTCACTAAAGGGTTTTGTGTGAGTCATTACAGGATAGTGTGAGTCACAACATAGTTAAGTTCGAGTCATTGCAGGTTAGTGGGAGTTGTTACAGAGATTAGGGTGAGTCACGAAAGAGTTAAGTTTGAGTCATTACAGGTTAGTGTGAGTCACAACAGAGTTAAGTTCGAGTCATTGCAGGTTAGTGGGAGTTGTTACAGAGATTAGGGTGAGTCACGAAAGAGTTAAGTTTGAGTCATTACAGGTTAGTGTGAGTCACAACAGAGTTAAGTTGGAGTCATTGCAGGTTAGTGGGAGTTGTTACAGAGTTAAATGTGAGTCACAAAAGAGTTTAGTGTGAGTCATTACAGGTTAGTGGGAGTTTTTACAGAGTTAAGTGTGAGTCATTACAGGTTAGTGGGAGTTGTTACAGAGTTTAGTGTGAGTCATTACAGGTTAGTGGGAGTTGTTACAGAGTTAAGTGTGAGTCATAACAGGTTAGTGGGAGTTTTTACAGAGTTAAGTGTGAGTCACGAAATGGTTTAGTGTGAGTCATAACAGGTTAGTGGGAGTTGTTACAGAGTTAAATGTGAGTCACTACAGCGTTTAGTGTGAGTCATTACAGGTTAGTGGGAGTTGTTACAGAGTTAAGTGTGAGTCATTACAGGTTAGTGGGAGTTGTTACAGAGTTAAGTGTGAGTCATTACAGGTTAGTGGGAGTTGTTACAGAGTTTAGTGTGAGTCATTACAGGTTTGTAGGAGTTGCTACAGAGTTAAGTGTAAGTCATAACAGGTTAGTGGAAAATACTACAGAGTTCAGAGTGAGTCACTAAAGGGGTAAATTTAGTCATTACTACTGGGAGTAGTGGTAGAGTTTAGTGCAATTCACTACAGAGTTAAGTGTCAAAATTTACATGAGTTGTTGCAATGTTTCTTTTGAAAGATCATCTTAATTTATAATACAATGCAAATTTCTTTTATCTATGTTTATTCAAAACTTCTTGTGAGCCAGTGCAAAGCTTCACATCAGTCACAGCTATATTTATCTTTAGTCAGTACTATTTCCTTTATTGAAGCTAATGTACTTTTTTATGATCAATTTCTCCTAGAGCAAGTAAAGAGGAAAGATCAAGTTGTTTCATTAGATCTCAAGACATTACATCATGCCATTTGAGTCATTGGACTTTTTAATGCTTCTTGAATACAGTTATGAGGTACAAATGACCTTTCAATTTCAAAAGAGTGCACCTTTCATTTTCAGAACAAAACTTTGCTCGCATTCCAACTAGGAATTTGAAACTTGGTGTATACATTGTTTATACTGAGGAAATGTGCAGTGTACGAATGTCAGGGCCGGCAACCCCTTAACTGCAGAGTTATTTCCCTTGGTTAAAATTTTTTATCCACAGCATTACTTTGATGACATTTAAACTAGATTAATGAAATTTGGTGTCTACATTGAACATACTAAGAGGGGTCAAGCAGTATACCAAACTCAGGGCCTATGTCCCCTTAATTATAGGCTTATTTCCCTTTATTGAAATTTCATGTCCTGAAGGTCACTGTGCTTTCATTTGAAGTAGGATAATGAGACTTGGTGTATACATTGAACATACTGAACAGATGTTTAGTGTACCAATACCAGGGCCCAAAACTCCTATATTACAGAATTATTGCTCATTATCTAAATTTGTGTCCGAAAATGATAATTTTCAGGGAACATTTATCAGTTTCACTGATGTTCTTGTCTTGTGAGTTTCTACTCTCAGTTCCTGCATGATATTAAAGGTAGTAAACTTTAGTGACATAGATACAATTTCCTAAAGATTGATGTAAGCTTATTAGTCACTTTGTCAAAGTGTGCAAGATGTCTGGATATTGTTTCAGTTTCTAGTGTTATCAGTTATAGTGTGTGAGCATTACATGCTGTTTTTCCTGTGTTACAGGTTATAGCGTGTGAACGACAACTAGAGTACAACTATGACAAGCGATGTGACATCTGGTCCCTGGGAATCACAGCCATTGAACTAGCTGACGGAGAGCCCCCATTGGCTGATCTTCATCCAATGAGAGCGCTCTTCAAAATTCCAAGGTCAGTTTTAGCTAATGAATGTTTTTGTTTTGTGTGTGATAGGATCAGAGAGGGAGACTGAATACTCACGTAGTGGCTACACTTGTCAACATTTGTGTTCATTATGTGTTATATGTAAGCATGAACATCTCAACATATAGTTTAGATTATGATAAAGTTATCCAATGGATGGTTAATTAGACTTCGTGAATCATTGAACCAACGTTAATGGAGTTCAAATCAGTGTTAGAATAAATGTTCAAAATTTTCAAAATTTCAATTTAAAAAAAAATTGAAGTTACCAAACTTTGAATAAACATTTTTATCCAGGTATGGCCATCCACACAAACATTTCAGATTCTGAATTTTACCAACAGGTTACTGATAATTGGGCTTTATATTGATTAATTGTAAATTGTTAAATTTCTCTTTTGTTTAGCTCTATAACAGACCTAGTACACAGAAATTTGGCTAATCATGTGTTGTAATCTCATATCAATGTTGGTGATTCAGTGAAATTTAAATTCTTGTTTGTGTTTAGAAAGAAAAAAAGTATACAGATCAGAAATTCTGAGAGAGAAAACATTAATTTGATTGTGGTATTGCTTTTTTTGGTAATATAGAGAATTGCTGTTTTGATGTCTTTTTCCTAATTTCAGAAATCCAACACCAACTTTGTCTAACCCAGACAACTGGTCAAGCGAGTTCAAAGACTTCATCTCAAAGTATGTTTATGATTTTTAGGTCATCTGACCCGAAGGGTCTAGATGACCAATAGCCATTGTGCTTCGTCCGTCGTTGTCCGCCGTGCGCCGTGCCTCGTCCGTAAACTTTTCATTCAAAAAACTTCTTCTCAAATACTAGAAAGCTTAGGAGGCTAATACTTGGCCCATAGCATGCTGGCATGGAGCCCTACAAAGTTTGTTCAAATTAATGACTTTGACCCACTTTCAAGGTCACAGGGGTCAAATATGTTAAAATATACAAACAGCTTCTTCTCAATAAGCAAAAGTCCATGAGTGCTGATATTGGGCCTGTAGGATGCTTGGAGGAAAGGCTACAAAGTTTGTACAAATGAATGACCTCGACCCACTTTCAAGGTCACAGGGGTCAAATATGTTAAAATATACAAACGACTTCTCAATAACCAAAAGTCCATGAGTGCTGATATTGGGCCTGTAGCATGCTGGGATGAAGGGCTACCAAGTTTGTTCAAATGAATGACCTTGACCCACTTTCAAGGTCACAGGGGTCAAATATATTAAAATATACAAACGACTTCTTCTCAATAAGCAAAAGTCCAAGAGTGCTGATAATGGACCTGTAGGATGCTGGGAGGAAGGGCTACCAAGTTTATTCAAATGAATAAAGCCCACTGTTTTAACGGCAGACTCACTGTTGTTAGAGTTTGGCTTGCTTTTTTCAGATGACTGTTAAGGCCCATGGGCCTCTTGTTAGTCATTATCACACTGACCAGTCCACAAGCTGGTTTAATGAAATATTCAATAATGGTTCTCAATACCTTATATCATCTTTAACTGTGATCTTTAAAGAAGGTTAGAAGATTGACTTTTTTGTATTCTTATCTTGAATCAGAGATAAATGTGTTGTACTCTTGGACTTATTTTCTTGCAGTAAATCTACCCTGTAGACTTTACATCAGGACAAATGCCTCGTGTTCATGGGCTTATTGTGGGGTAAAAATAATAGCTTATCCAGAGGTATTTTATCCAGATTTTACTGGACAGAAATGAACAATGTCATAAAGAAGCTTTAGAATCAAATAATGAACATTTATGATAGTTGTAACTGTTGTTGAGATGAGTTACTTAAGCCGAGAAACTAAATTGACTCAGTATAATGAAACAGGTGATCTTCTGCTCAGTGTTAGAAGACTTGGTTCTCGGAGTGTAAACCTATTTAAGTTTCCATGGTGATGAGCTTTCCAGTAATAGGATTTGTTAGTGAATTGTCAGGTAAAGCTGGTCTCTTAGTGTTTTATCAGCTGATCATAACATAATGATGCATCGCTTTGTCCAAGAATTATTTACCTTATTTGCTAGTTTGGTATTCAGCTCCTGAAACATTAAACACTAAACACAAACATTTGTACCATCCACAGAAACAGTTTTAGGCATTTTGAAGGAATATTACTGTAGGATCTATTGTGTAGCTTGAGAACCACCAATTAAATTTGGTTCATGTTTACCATATAGTATGATAATTTCACATTCTTCTCCTGGTGAGATTCTGGTGTGAAGCAGGAACATCCATGACTCCAGCATTCTCTGGTTTTATACAGAGTGATCTAAACAATTGTAAAAGCCTCTTGCTCTTCCATTGTCCAACTTGTTATCCTTATTCCTAACCATGATCACTTCTTCAAGTTCAAGGATGAGCATACCTTCAGAGGAATGATATCTCTGTGAGGTCACTATTTCTATTTATAGAAATTTTCCTAAGATTGACACAACTTCTTGTAGAAGTAGAGTATTGTTTTTTTTTTTTAATTGCAAATACTGAATCATATTATGGTTATTTAATTTTGAAATTCATGTAATTAAATTTTGATAATGAAGAATGTTTTTATTGTTAAATATTTTTTATCACCAGCAGGTTATGTCATACATCTATTGAATTCTAACAAGCTTTTCTGATTTTTGGAACTCTTCAGATTCAGAGGTACATTTTATGATATGATGAAAGTCTTTAACTTATTATTACAGGTGCCTTATAAAAGACTTTGAATTACGACCTCAGGCGGAGGATTTACTGAATCATCCTTTTATACGTCAAGTGGCAGGAGAAACAAGCACGGTAAGCTCTGATTACATAAATTGATTAATGATTCCATCTAATATCATACACCTTGTGGAATACAGTTCCTCGGGAGATCAGAGTGTCCCACATAGCTAGGCTGCTTGTGTCATTGAAAATACATCAGGATATCTTTACAACATCTTCAGTCAGAATGTTACAAAACATTCATTGGCTCAAACTCTTATGTTAATTATAAGGGATTTTGATGAATAAATTTTCAATCCAAATACTAACATTTTTTCTCTACCTATTCAACAGAATCAATCCTTTTAAGGTTTTCAAAGACTTTCCAGTTTATCTACATCACAGTCATACTTTTGAATTTGCAAATCAATGTTGTAAAAATAAATCTAAAAGGTAGAACGTAATTGAAACGTATTACTCACCTTGGTTGTTGACAAATTACTGTGTTTTTTTAGTATCAGAAGAAGCTTCATGACCTGACCTCTAGTATGGATCAGACAGTCCATCGACCAGACGTCACTGTGAAGAAGGGACGTCCCAAGTCCCATCGCAAGTCTAGACGAGACACGGTGAAATCCACTGAAGATTTGGCCACACTGGAAATCCTTGATGAGGTCAGTAACTAACTGGATAGGATGGAATGGTAAAAGGTTAATCAATGTTAGAGGTCAAATGATTGTAAAGGTCAAATTATGTCAAAAGTTATGTGATTGAAGAGGTCAAAGAATGTTAGAGGTTAACTGATATTAGAGGTCAAACTCTGTCTGAAGTCAAGTGATGTTCAATATGTCAGAGGTTAACTGATATTAGAGGTCAAACCATGTCAGAGGTTAACTAATATTAGAGGTCAAACCATGTCTGAGGATAACTGATATTAGAGGTCAAACCATGACAGAGGTTAACTAATATTAGAGGTCAAACTATGTCAGAGATTAACTGATATTAGAGGTCAAACCATGTCAGAGGTTAACTGACATTAGAGGTCAAACCATGTCAGAGGTTAACTGATATTAAGGTCAAACCATGTCAGAAGTTGTCGGACATACATGGTCAGGTGAACGAGGGACTTCCCAAGCCCGATGGTAAGTCTTAAAGAGAGCGAGTAAGATCTGGTTATGTCAGAAGTCAGATAATGTTAGAGATCAAATGCTGAGAGGTTGATCGATTTTAGAGGTCAAACAATGTCAGTGTGATTGTTTTAGGTGTTCTGTTTACAGGGAGTGATTGTTGTATACTTACTGTTTACAGGGAGTGATTGTATCTCAGTTGCGCAGTCGTTATGAGAACGAGGAAATCTACACCTACATTGGTGACATCCTGTTGGCCGTCAATCCATTTCAGCCCATCAACATCTACAATGAAGAGGTAATCAAAACAAAATCTTTAATCTTCTTTGGAGAACTGTAGACTTGTCAAATTTAGATGTTTTAGTAGATTTAGGGTATAACCTGGATATTCAGGTTTCAAAAATGAAAAAAACATTTCAAAACTTAAAACTCCAATGCAAACAAAATGTGTGAATGATAAGTTTAATTTCTTTAAACAAGAATAAAGAAGAAAATTCATTGACCATTATAAATCAGTAGAAGGGTTTTCAATGTTAGCTTTGAGACATAGATCCTCGATGCTGTAGATGACTTTGAGACATAGATCCTCGATGCTGTAGATGACTTTGAGACATAGATCCTCGATGCTGTAGACTATTTTGAAACATAGATCCTTGATGCTGTAGACTATTTTGAAACATAGATCCTTGATGCTGTAGACTATTTTGAAACATAGATCCTTGATTCTGCAGATTATTTTGAAACATAGATCCTCGATGCTGTAGATGACTTTGAAACATAGATCCTGGATGCTGTAGATGACTTTGAAACATAGATCCTGGATGCTGTTGATTACTTTGAAACAAAACAATTCTAAGACATGTGGGTCTGTTACTGATGCTGGTTTGTTGTATTACAGGGACGTTTTTTTCTATTATTTCTATGATTTCATTTCAGTATTCTAAAATGTATGTCAATGCAGCCAAAGATGAAAATCCTCCCCATATATTTGCTGTAGCTGACCAATCCTATCAAATGATGATGCATTATAGAAAACACCAGGTGAGTTACTTCCCCTGTATTGTAACTCTTTACTTTGTAACAGGAAAGTTTATTCATCCCCCATTGGGAATTGAAGAGGGGTATAATTTTGTGTTGTCTTTGTCCATCTGACTGTCTTTGTCCATCTGACTGTCTTTGTCCATCTGACTGCCTTTGTCCATCTGACTGTCTTTGTCCATCTGACTGCCTTTGTCCATCTGACTGCATTTGTCCATCTGACTGTCTTTGTCCATCTGACTGTCTTTATCCATCTGACTGCCTTTGTCCATCTGACTGCCTTTGTCCATCTGACTGTCCTTGTCCATCTGACTGTCTTTGTCCATCTGACTGTCTTTGTCCATCTGACTGCCTTTGTCCATCTGACTGTCTTTGTCCATCTGACTGTCTTTGTCCATCTGACTGCCTTTGTCCATCTGACTGCCTTTGTCCATCTGACTGTCTTTGTCCATCTGACTGCCTTTGTCCATCTGTCTTTGTCCATCTGACTGCCTTTGTCCATCTGACTGTCTTTGCATACTTCCACTGTCTTTTCTGGGTTCTATCTTCTAACAATGAATCACGGGTACTTCATACTCGGGATAGGGGTTTACTTTGGTGAGACAGTGTGTCACATATCAAAAGTAGGCCACTCTGACCTATATTTTAATCTCTGATATATATGAAAGAAAAACTTCTACACAACTAATTATGGGAACTTCATACTTGGAATATGACTTCGCCTTTTTGAGATAGTGTTGATCAATCTGACAAAACAAAGTCAAGAGAATTCAGTGTCATTTTTGTTTGTCATCTAGGTTACCTTGTTAATACTCAGACAAAAGCAAAATTTCATTAACCTTTTAAGGTCACCCTATTTTTTCTGACGGCAATTATATGACCATGTCCACAGTATAGTTTATGTATTGAAGTCTCTTAACAATTGTCACCTGAGCAAGAGATGTAAATAGAAAGTTTGTGGTTGGTTGATTGTAGTGAAACTGTCACTAATACTTTTATGGACTAATAAAATGTTGTGTTACATCTTGAATGAGTTAGAGGTTGCCTTATCTGTCAGACCAAATCTTTATGATGTCATGTTGGAATAAGAACTAGGAAAAATTCACTTTTCACTTCCTGATTATGTGAGTAATATAATGGCTATTTTATGTTCTTTTTGTGTTTTTTTTTCCTTTTCTTTTTTTTTTTTTTTTTTTTTTTTGTAAATGTTTGCAATTTTATAAAATGCTTGAAGCTACATGATAAATTTTTTGTTTTGTTTGTTTATTTATTTTTTTTGGTGGAAATCATAAAATATAAATTGATTCTCAAAAAAATTCTAGAACTTTTTGAAGTTATCTATTGTTTGCAATTTTGTTCAATTCATGTAGAATAACAAAGTTTATTCTTCAGAGAATCTGTTAATAACATCAACGACATTAATACTGTACAGAGATTCACTCTCTTTTCATTTCAGTGTATCGTAATTAGTGGAGAGTCTGGAGCAGGAAAGACGGAGAGTGCCAACCTAATGGTACAACAACTCACACAGCTCGGCAAGGTCAGTAAACACATATCACTAGATATATTTATCGGGAAAGATGAAGAGTGCAAACCTTATGGTACAACTTTGTATCTTCCGAAATTTTAGTCTCAGTGAGAAACATGGAGAAGGTTATTGATTAAGTACTCCATTACAAAATTTTTAGATTGTGGCTTTAAAGTCGATTTTCATCCATGTCAGCCATTCTAACTGTAAAAATGTATTGTGCCTACTCTCCCTGAAAAATTATGAAATTATCTTTGAAGTATTTACAAGAACATGTTCAGTATGGGTTCTAGCTGGGCATGCACAATTTTCAGCTTTACCTCTCATCTAATATGGCTGTTAGTTAGGAGCCATTTTGAATTTTAATAGTTGTAGTTTAAGATATTTCTATTCTTGAATTATCACATCAGAGTTTTTTATTCAAATTCTTCTATTTGTTAAGACAGATGCCATCGACATTTGAGTTTATGGCAATAACCATGGCAACACTTTTTTTCAAGACAAGTTTATGTGATGACATTTGTCTCGTTCTTTTTACAGGCTGACAATAGAACACTTGAGGAGCGAATTCTCCAAGTGAATCCCCTGATGGAAGCATTTGGAAATGCCAAGACCGTCATCAACGACAATTCAAGTCGATTCGGCAAATATTTAGAGATGTTCTTCACAATTAGCGGCACTGTTGTGGGAGGTATGGAGAGATTGAGGAAGTGAAAATAAAATTAGAATATTTGAAAATATGTAATTCTAGTTGATTATTCCCTTTTGATCAAATTCATGATTACATTTTAGTGATAAATAAGCTTCTCTTGGCATGACAGAATGTCTGTTATTCTGTAATGATATTGTGATTTATTATATTGAGGTTTTGCTTTTTGTTCATTTTATGAAATAGTTCTACAGATAAGGCCTAGTACAGAGTATGGCCCTTGTTTTCAAAGTTGTTTGCTTTATAGCAGACAGGTACTAACTTTATGCCACCTACAACATCTATGACTAAGTTATCAGCCTGATAACACTTTTACCAGTGCGACATGAAGTGATGAAATTTCTCATTCAGACATTACGTCTATCATAGGTTATATTCAGTAATTTCATTGAAGAATACATACGCAAATTTTTCTACTACAACCAGTGAAAATGAAGTAAGAATAACTTGCTTTTACACAAACAAAAAATGAAGATATCTCTTGAGGTCATGGACAGATTTGGTTCATATTCACACCATATGATCATATTACCAAGGTCTTCCCTACATTAGTTTTTGGTAGTTCATTGGCGGTAGGTAAAGGTCAAAGTTCACCCTTGACCACTTTGATTGATGGGTGGTGGGGTAGGGGGTATATCTAGGTGAACCTGCTCACTTTGTTTTTATTATATTAAGTGCCGTGTTTTGTATTTTAGCTAAAATCACTGAGTACCTCCTGGAAAAATCTCGAGTGATATCACAAGCAAGGTATGTAATTATACTCTACGATATGAATTCCTCTGGTGTGCAGACTTTCTGTCAGCTTACGTCAAATATAGCCACCAGACAAAAGACTAGGAAGCAAAATGTCTCAGTAGCTTTTCATAGCTACGAGTTTGGAGGCCTTACATTTTGTAGCAGCTTCAGTTTTAGAACTTTGTAGCTACAGGCCTAGAACTTATATTAGCTCAAGGTGTGGTACTTATAGTAGGTCAGACTTAGATATTAAAGGTCAGTGACTCCTGGGTAAGAGCTTAATGGCTTCAGGCACAGGTTACTCTTCTACAGTTTTAGATTTAAATCATTTTTACTCACGGTGCTTTCAGAAAAACCTAGCAGGTTTTACTTGGTTTTATCAGAAACATTTATGAAATTTAAAGGAAAATAAAAAAGATTATATTGTTTCTGTCAAAATTTTCACAGGGGTGAACAAAATTTCCATATATTCTACTACATACACGATGGCCTCAGCTCAGAAGAAAAGAAAACTCAGTTTCATCTCACAGAAAATGTGCCCTACAGGTAAGTCTCTGATAATATCTGATGTAGTAGCCATGGATACATGTTGTGCATTGATTTTTGTTATATTTTTATTTACATAAATTATTTTTACTGCTAATAAAATTCATGCTTACAATTAAACATTAGTCTGATCATACTGAACCTGCTTTCGTATGATCAAATTTGGGCCTTTTATTCAATCTTGAAGCAACAATGAATTTGAATATTTACAATAGATTGATGCATGGACTAGGCTTTTTACAGGACCAAACTCCCAGGGTACAACACAATAACCCTGACTGAAAGTCAGGAGGTGGTCTTATCACAGGACAATAAACCCAGGGTACAACACAATTACCCTGACTGAAAGTCAGGAGGTGGTCTTATCACAGGACAATAAACCCAGGGTACAACACAATAACCCTGACTGAAAGTCAGGAGGTGGTCTTATCACAGGACAATAAACCAAGGGTACAACACAATTACCCTGACTGAAAGTCAGGAGGTGGTCGTATCACAGGACAATAAACCCAGGGTACAACACAGTAACCCTGACTGAAAGTCAGGAGGTGGTCTTATCACCAGACGGTGAAATAGCATTTGTAATATAAATGTCTTAATCTGTTGTGTAGTGTGAAACTGCAGTATTTTCTTGATGGGCTTATTAGAAAGCATGGGCTTATTGACAAATGATTATGGAAATATGTGATATTTGCTTGAGTTTTGACAAATTAATTGGTTTGTCTCACCTTAGACAAATTAATTGGTTTGTCTCACCTTTGACAAATTAATTGGTTTGTCTCACCTTTTACAAATTGTGTCTTATACAGGTATATTGAGGAATACACAAGCAAAGGGATTGACATTGCTGCAATGGCAATTAACAGGGTCAAGTTCAAGGCCATCCAGCACTGCTTTGATATCATTGGTTTTAAACCTAAGGTGGGTATATGTCATCCAGTACTGCATTAATTGCATTGACTTTAAACATCAGGTAGGTCAAGGTCATCCAGAACTGGAATATGGTAGGTAAATGTCATTGTCATCAATCACTTTTTAGGTAAATTTTTCAAGGCCAATAAAAGACTTCTTTAATTCTCATTAATTTATGCAAAAGAAATGTGATTTAAAAAATTTATGATAAAAACAGAAATGTTATGATAAATAATTTGTGATATTAACAGAAATGTGATAATAAGCAATTTGTGATATTAACAGAAATGTGATAATAAAAGAATTTGCGATATTAACAGAAATGTGTTAACAAATAATTTGTGATATTAACAGAAATGTGTTAATAAATAATTTGTGATATTAACAGAAATGTTTTGATAAATAATTTGTGATATTAACAGAAATGTTTTAATAAATAATTTGTGATATTAACAGAAATGTGATAATAAACTGTATAGGAAAATAATAATAGTAAAAATCAGCATGTTATATGTACACTCTTCTGTACTTTCTTTAGATTATATTCACCACGTATTTCACCTTTATATTTTGTTGTGACATTTAACAGGAAGTGTCTGCTGTCAGTGGTATTATTGCCTCAATTTTAAATCTGGGCAACGTTAACTTTGAAGAGAAGGAGATGGGCCATGGGGGAAATGCTTGCTGCATTGAAAATATGCCGCTTGTAGAGGCAGGTAGGTGTAGCCTGACGTGACCATTCCTGAAGCATGCTTATAGCAATGGATTACCTTAAGTGTTGATTAAAATTTATTGGATATGAGGAACTGTAGCATTCAGTACTCACAAGTATAATTTAGAAAAGTTAGGGGCAGTGATAGCTCAGGTTGTAGAGCGTTGGACTATGTTACCTCAACTGAAAATCTGAGGTGTGTGGTTCGATGCTTGCTGCCCACAGCAGTTTGTGTTTCTCAGGAAGTTGAGAAAGGTTCTACGTAACCTTGGTTGTGACCTCAGGAAGCTGAGAAAGGGTCTATGTAACCCTGGTTGTGACCTCAGGAAGCTGAGAAAGGGTTTACGTAACTCTGGTTGTGACCTCAGGAAAACCACTTTCCTCTAATTGTTTGGATGGCATGCAAAAGGCCTACCATACATTGTTCAGTGTTGGTATCCACCAGCTTCTGCAAGGAGACCCTGTTTCAAAATGACGTCGGGTGTTCATAGGATGACAAACCCAGCAAACAAGTAATCATATAAAAGTGACTGAAATTGATTCAGTCATGAGTGTCGTAAGTGTGTGGCACTTTTTCATTAATTTTGTTTTGATTGCGAGAAAGCACAGGGTGCAAATTATACATTTTATTTAAACCATCTGTAGAAGAAAGTAGAATGTACTTTTGGCCTTCCTGACCTCTGGAGTAGGTGCACTTTTCTATTTGTTAGTTGTTTACTGTTCTTAAAGAGACCTCTGTATACCACTCTAAGTATCATCCTGAAGCCTAGAATATGAACCTAAACAGACACATCAACTTAGCACCTAGAATATGAACCTTAACACACACATCAACTTAGCACCTAGAATATGAACCTTAACACGCACATCAACTTAGCACCTAGAATATGAACCTTAACACACATCAACTTAGCACCTAGAATATGAACCTTAACACGCACATCAACTTAGCACCTAGAATATGAACCTTAACACACCTCAACTTAGCACCTAGAATATGAACCTTAACACACCTCAACTTAGCACCTAGAATATGAACCTTAACACACACATCAACTTAGCACCTAGAATATGAACCTTAACACACCTCAACTTAGCACCTAGAATATGAACCTTAACACGCACATCAACTTAGCACCTAGAATATGAACCTTAACACACACATCAACTTAGCACCTAGAATATGAACCTTAACACACCTCAACTTAGCACCTAGAATATGAACCTTAACACACCTCAACTTAGCACCTAGAATATGAACCTTAACACACACATCAACTTAGCACCTAGAATATGAACCTTAACACACACATCAACTTAGCACCTAGAATATGAACCTTAACACACACATCAACTTAGCACCTAGAATATGAACCTTAACACACCTCAACTTAGCACCTAGAATATGAACCTTAACACACCTCAACTTAGCACCTAGAATATGAACCTTAACACACACATCAACTTAGCACCTAGAATATGAACCTTAACACACACATCAACTTAGCACCTAGAATATGAACCTTAACACACACATCAACTTAGCACCTAGAATATGAACCAACTTAACACACACACATCAACTTAGCACCTAGAATATGAACCTTAACACAAACATCAACTTAGCACCTAGAATATGAACCTTAACAGACACATCAACTTAGTACCTAGAATATGAACCTTAACACACACATCAACTTAGCACCTAGAATATGAACCTTAACACACACATCAACTTAGCACCTAGAATATGAACCTTAACACGCACATCAACTTAGCACCTAGAATATGAACCTTAACACACCTCAACTTAGCACCTAGAATATGAACCTTAACACATGTATCAACTTAGCACCTAGAATATGAACCTTAACACACCTCAACTTAGCACCTAGAATATGAACCTTAACACACACATCAACTTAGCACCTAGAATATGAACCTTAACACGCACATCAACTTAGCACCTAGAATATGAACCTTAACACACACATCAACTTAGCACCTAGAATATGAACCTTAACACGCACATCAACTTAGCACCTAGAATGTGAACCTTAACACACATCAACTTAGCACCTACCTTAACACACACATCAACTTAGCACCTAGAATATGAACCTTAACACACAACTTATCAACTTAGCACCTAGAATATGAACCTTAACACACCTCAACTTAGCACCTAGAATATGAACCTTAACACACACATCAACTTAGCACCTAGAATATGAACCTTAACACACCTCAACTTAGCACCTAGAATATGAACCTTAACACACACATCAACTTAGCACCTAGAACACACACATCAACTTAGCACCTAGAATATGAACCTTAACACACCTCAACTTAGCACAATATGAACCTCAACACACACATCAACTAGCACCTAGAATATGAACCTTAACACACACATCAACTTAGCACCTAGAATATGAACCTTAACACACACATCAACTTAGCACCTAGAATAACCTTAACACACATCAACTTAGCACCTAGAGAATATGAACCTTAACACACACCTCAACTTAGCACCTAGAATATGAACCTTAACACACCTCAACTTAGCACCTAGAATATGAACCTTAACACACACATCAACTTAGCACCTAGAATATGAACCTTAACACACACATTTAGCACCTAGAATATGAAACTTACACTCACATCAACTTAGCACCTAGAATATGAACCTTAACACGCACATCAACTTAGCACCTAGAATATGAACCTTAACACACACATCAACTTAGCACCTAGAATATGAACCTTAACACGCACATCAACTTAGCACCTAGAATATGAACCTTAACACACACATCAACTTAGCACCTAGAATATGAACCTTAACACACACTCAACTCAACTTAGCACCTAGAACCTATATGAACCTTAACACACACACCTCAACTCAACACACACATCAACTAGCACCTAGAATATGAACCTTAACACACACATCAACTTAGCACCTAGAATATGAACCTTAACACACACATCAACTTAGCACCTAGAATATGAACCTTAACACGCACATCAACTTAGCACCTAGAATATGAACCTTAACACACGTATCAATTTAGCACCTAGAATGTGAACCTTTACACACCTCAACTTAGCACCTAGAATATGAACCTTAACACACCTCAACTTAGCACCTAGAATATGAACCTTAACACACCTCAACTTAGCACCTAGAATATGAACCTTAACACACACATCAACTTAGCACCTAGAATATGAACCTTAACACACACATCAACTTAGCACCTAGAATATGAACCTTAACACACCTCATTAACTTCAACTTAGCACCTAGAATATGAACCTTAACACACACATCAACTTAGCACCTAGAATATGAACCTTAACACACACATCAACTTAGCACCTAGAATATGAACCTTAACACACACATCAACTTAGCACCTAGAATATGAACCTTAACACACCTCAACTTAGCACCTAGAATATGAACCTTAACACACCTCAACTTAGCACCTAGAATATGAACCTTAACACACACATCAACTTAGCACCTAGAATATGAACCTTAACACACACATCAACTTAGCACCTAGAATATGAACCTTAACACACACATCAACTTAGCACCTAGAATATGAACCTTAACACACCTCAACTTAGCACCTAGAATATGAACCTTAACACACCTCAACTTAGCACCTAGCACCTAGAATATGAACCTTAACACACGTATCAACTTAGCACCTAGAATATGAACCTTAACACACCTCAACTTAGCACCTAGAATATGAACCTTAACACACCTCAACTTAGCACCTAGAATATGAACCTTAACACACACATCAACTTAGCACCTAGAATATGAACCTTAACACACACATCAACTTAGCACCTAGAATATGAACCTTAACACACACATCAACTTAGCACCTAGAATATGAACCTTAACACGCACATCAACTTAGCACCTAGAATATGAACCTTAACACACACACATCAACTTAGCACCTAGAATATGAACTTAGCACACTCAACTTAGCAATATGAACACACCTCAACTTAGCAACACACACATCAACTTAGCACCTAGAATATGAACCTTAACACACACATCAACTTAGCACCTACCTTAACACACACATCAACTTAGCACCTAGAATATGAACCTTAACACACACATCAACTTAGCACCTAGAATATGAACCTTAACACACCTCAACTTAGCACCTAGAATATGAACCTTAACACACCTCAACTTAGCACCTAGAATATGAACCTTAACACACCTCAACTTAGCACCTAGAATATGAACCTTAACACGCACATCAACTTAGCACCTAGAATATGAACCTTAACACACACAGCAACTTAGCAGGATATTGGCTTGTTGGAAATTTCTCCACCCGGAGATTTTTCTTGTGTGATTAATTTTATTCAAATGTCATGTATCTCTCTAAAAAGGTTGAAAAGAAGAAAAAAACACAAAAACCTTCCCCTTTCATTTTCCCCAGCATCCACCACGATAAACCATAGGAAAACTAATTGGAATATATATATATTTTTACTTTCTCTGTAGTGTCTGCATCACTAGGCATTCCTAATATAGAGTTGGTGGAAGCTCTCACAACAACAGGTATGGTTGCACGTGGAGAACTTATTGTGCGAGGAAATTCCGTCCCAGAGGCTTTAGATGCCCGGGATGCCATGGCCAAGGCACTTTATGGACGTTTGTTTAGCTGGATCGTCAACCGTATCAACATTCTTCTTAAACCTCAGACATTTATCGCAAAAAAGTAAGTCGTAAATCATCAGTATCGTTTTTACACGGTTGACTTGTTTTTTACACAAAAAAATTGATAGATCATCACTTAAATCAACATCTTAAGGACAAATCATTTGTCATTTAATCATAAATTTTACTGTAAGTTTGCTCTCTTCCAACTTTTATAAATCTTCGAGGAATAGAGAAGTCACTAATCAAGACATAGTCAGGTATTATTTGTTCTTTAACAGGTCTTTTGAGAGATAAAGGTGAGGAAAAGTTGGTATTGGTCAGGCATGCTCATGGTTTATGAAGGCAGTTTGTTTTGCGATAAAAGATTTGACTGTATACTATAAAATAAATCATTTTTGTAGGGGATTTCTTTTCATTTAATTCATAGGAATTCTTAACTTCACAAAGTTATTGTCGTCAAAATAAGAAAATTTGGCACGGATTGTAATACTTTTAGATTTTGTGAGCAGGAATTATCATCAAAATCAAGTGTCACATAAAATGCATATTTTTTGAAAACCACAAAAATTTTAGCCCCACTAGAAGATATGATTTTACAGTAACCAGGACTTACGATTTTACATTTTTCTGCCCTGCAGGGAGGATGAGAATCATATTATAGGAATCCTGGACATTTTTGGTTTTGAACACATTCCTAACAACTCTTTTGAGCAGTTGTGTATCAATATTGCTAATGAACAGATCCAGTATTACTTCAACCAGCACATCTTCGCCTGGGAAATGGTGAGTTTTATAGAAATCAAACATTGGGTGCAGGAAATTCTCTCAACCAGCACATCTTTGTCTGGGAAATGGTGAGTTTTATAGAAATCAAACACTGAGGGCTGAAAATCAAATAAAAAGAATTTAGAAAGATTAATTCCATGGTGTTTTTTATGCAGAAATAAATATCAAAGACAGTGACATCACTTAGCTTTCACAAAATACTTCATGAACTTACCTCTTCAGTCACATTCATGAAATTCTTCTCAACCAATGCTTTGTCTGGACTTTCAATTTGTTAAGGATGAGTTAATAGAAATCAAATCATTGGGTCTGATTCTCAGTAACACAGCACATCTTTGTCTGGGAAATTGTCAGTTTCATACAAATAATCGAAGTGATTTAAATTTGCAAATTAATTTCATTCTGCTTTTGAGGTGCAAAATTGTGAAAAATTGATACCTTGAAAGCTGAAATTTTTAGAGGAAAGCACATCTTAAAATGTCCTGAAAAAAAATGACCATTGGGTGCAGGTTTCAAGGTTTTGATTAAAGATATCAAACACTGAGGGCTGAAAATCAAATAAAAAGAATTTAGATCAGATTAATTCCATGGGTGTTTTTCTGGTGCAGAAATAAATATCAAAGACAGTGACATCACTTAGCTTTCACAAAATACTTCATGAACTTACCTCTTCAGTCACATTCATGAATACTTGATTCCTTGAATGCTGGTCTGGACTTTCAATTTGTTAAGGATGAGCTAACAAAGATCAGGAATCTACACACCTCTGATATCAGTAACACAGTTAACATGGATGTCGTCCAGAGTTGTCATATTCATACAAATAATCGCAAGTGATTTAAATTTGCAATTTATTAATTTCTTTCTGCTTTTGAGGATCAAATAAAATTGTGAAAAATTGATACCTTGAAAGCTGAAATTTTTAGAGGAAAGCTAGTTCATTTTAAAACGTCCTTGAAAAAAAATGACCTCTTTGTTTCAAGGTTTTGATTAAATTGTCAAAATTTGAATCTTCATACAATACTCAAACCTTTAAAGTAAGTTAACACTTCTTTCTTGATATCTTACACAGCAAGAATACAAGAATGAAGGCCTGGAGATGCTGGACATCACATTTGTCGACAATCGACCTTTACTGGACATGTTCTTGATGAAACCTCTTGGACTTCTGGCACTGCTGGATGAGGAGAGTCACTTCCCTAAGGCTACAGATCAGTCCCTGGTTGGTAAGTTACCAGACATATTGAAGCCACAAGGATGGCTGCTGCCCTGCTGGATAAGGAGAATCACTTAGCTGCCACATCCTTTATACTTCAGGCCAGTAATAGACGGAGAATGGTAGAAAACAAAACAGTGGCTTGTACATAGTGTTAAATACAGTCTCTGTCACTCAGCTGACGGGTCAGTGTGGCTTGTACATAGTGTTAATACAGTCTCCGTCACTCAGCTGACGGGTCAGTGTGGCTTGTATATAGTGTTAAATACAGTCTGTCACTCCGCTGATGGTGTCAGTGTGACTTGTCAGAGCTGATGTGTTGTAGATTGTGTTTAATACTGTCTGTCATTCAGCTGACAGGTCAGTGTGGCTTGTACAATGTGTTAAATACAGTCTCTGTCACTCAGCTGACGGGTCAGTGTGGCTTGTAGATTGTGTTTAATACTGTCGCTGTCACTCAGCTGATGGGTCAGTGTGACTTGTAGATTGTGTTTAATACTGTCGCTGTCACTCAGCTGACAGGTCAGTGTGGCTTGTACAATGTGTTAAATACAGTCTCTGTCACTCAGCTGACGGGTCAGTGTGGCTTGTAGATTGTGTTTAATACAGTCTGTCACTCAGCTGATGGGTCAGTGTGGCTTGTACATAGTGTTAAATACAGTCTCTGTCACTCAGCTGACGGGTCAGTGTGGCTTGTACATTGTGTTAATACAGTCTGTCACTCAGCTGATGGGTCAGTGTGGCTTGTACAATGTGTTAATACAGTCTGTCACTCAGCTGATGGGTCAGTGTGGCTTGTACATAGTGTTAAATACAGTCTCTGTCATTCAGCTGACAGGTCAGTGTGGCTTGTACAATGTGTTAAATACAGTCTCTGTCACTCAGCTGACAGGTCAGTGTGGCTTGTACAATGTGTTAAATACAGTCTCTGTCACTCAGCTGACGGGTCAGTGTGGCTTTTACATAGTGTTAAATACAGTCTCTGTCACTCAGCTGACGGGTCAGTGTGGCTTTTACATAGTGTTAAATACAGTCTCTGTCACTCAGCTGATGGGTCAGTGTGGCTTGTACATAGTATTAAATACAGTCGCTGTCACTCAGCTGATGGGTCAGTGTGACTTGTAGATAGTGTTAAATACAGTCTGTCACTCAGCTGATGGGTCAGTGTGGCTCGTAGATTGTGTTTAATACTGTCGCTGTCACTCAGCTGATGGGTCAGTGTGACTTGTACATAGTATTAAATACAGTCTCTGTCACTCAGCTGACGGGTCAGTGTGACTTGTATATAGTGTTAAATACAGTCTCTGTCATTCAGCTGATGGGTCAGTGTGGCTTGTACATAGTATTAAATACAGTCTCTGTCACTCAGCTGACGGGTCAGTGTGACTTGTATATAGTGTTAAATACAGTCTGTCACTCAGCTGATGGGTCAGTGTGGCTTGTAGATTGTGTTTAATACTGTCGCTGTCACTCAGCTGATGGGTCAGTGTGACTTGTAGATAGTGTTAAATAGCACATCTGTGACTGAGCTGATGGGTCAGTGTGGCTTTTACATAGTGTTAAATAGCACATCTTTTACTGAGCTGATGGAATACGTTTTAAAACATGGAGCTGAGGATCATCACACTGGAAACAAAAGGTTGAGTACTGTCTTGACACATGACAACAATATGTTTATAAGTACATTATATTAACTTTTGGTTATTATTTATTTTTGAAAGATGTGGTGTTGAAAACAAAGCATTCTTTAACATTGTTTTACTCTCACCATCAAATTTCAAAATCGCTTCTTACAGTATTTTATTAAATAATTTTATTTCACAGCTACTAAATTTGAAGATGATAGGTAATATACAATCAGGAATCTTGTTGAAACCATTGAAATTTTTCTCTGCAAAATACTTCATACGGTTGATTATAGATTTACTGATTTGTTGCAGAAAAATTCCATAGGAACATCAACAACAAATACTACCGTCGTCCAAAAGGCAACTCTCTCGTTTTCAGTATTGACCACTACGCAGGTCGGGTAGGTAAATCTACTTATCAGATTCACAAACTTATAGAGACAGCAATGTCTAAACTCATCTTTAGTTATATTATATAAATACCCTGTTATCAGTGTAATAACACCCATTATATAACTACTCTGTTATCAGTGAAATAACACCCATTATATAACTACTCTGTTATCAGTGTAATAATACCTATTATATAACTACCCTGTTATCAGTATAATAACACCCATTATATAACTACCCTGTTATCAGTGTAATAACACCCATTACATAACTACCCTGTTATCAGTGTTATAACACCCATTACATAACTACCCTGTTATCAGTGTAATAACACCCATTATATAACTACCTGTTATCAGTATAATAACACCCATTACATAACTACCCTGTTATCAGTGTTATATCACCCATTATATAACTACCCTGTTATCAATGTAATAACACCCATTACATAACTACCCCATTATCAGTGTAATAAAACCTGTTATATATATTGTTGCTATAACACACATGTAATATGACCTAGAGGAGCTGTGATTGACTTGCTCCTAAGTTACCATTGTGACATCATAACTTTATATATTTATTGTGATGTCCTCAATGAAAGAGATATAAATTGAGAATATCACAGATTTAGATTTTATATTGGGTCTGCAGGTGTCAGCCTCTCCCTATTATTGATCTCGACCCTTATTCAAGGTCACAGGGGTCAAATTTGTTAAAACCTCCAAACAACTTAAGTTTATCCAAAGGGTTAGAATTATATTTGTCCAGAAAACTTACCCTGATGAACCAAAAGTCTTAGAAATACGATATTTAGCTGAAAGGTTCTTTAGATGAAGTCCAGTAGATGAAGCCCAAAACAATTTACAAACAGAAATGATTTTGATCCTATTCAAGGTCACAGAGGTCAAATGCAAATGTATCTGATAACCTTCAAATAATTTCTTTCAAATGAAGAGAAGACCTAGTATTGTTAACCTCTGGTGGATATGTTCCCCAGACAAAGCCCAAGAAAACCTCTAAAAAGAAAAATTCTCAGGAGTGAAGTTTATTGAAACCTTCTCATTAACCCAGGCGATGAACGTCTATCATGTTAAATGTTAATTTATTTGTGAAAGCATTGAACACTGTTGAAAAATTCTGACCCACCAGGCCCTTTTTTTGGAGAATATCATAGCATGCTTGACTGTAATAGCAAAACAAAGAACATACAAATCTAACCAACCCTGTAGTAATATAACCACACTATCACTAAAAAAGTTCAAACTTCTGTGAGGTTGCCGGGTAGGGCATACATATAACACTAGCACATCTTGTTCTCTAAACTCTTAACACTAAATGTTGATTTGTACAATTTCTTCACCACAAAAGTAATATACAGTATGTGCTCCATGTCTACAGGTGGAATATGATGCAATGGGCTTCCTGGAAAAGAATCGTGATCGTCTTCCTGGAGATGTACTAAATATGCTTCGTGCTTCCAACAACGAGGTCGTCCGCGCCCTCTTCCAGACCCCTCTTACAAAAACAGGTGTGTATAATCAACTTTATCAAGCAATGTTTCTGAGTTCAAAGATCAGTTATTGTTACTATCTATAGAAATTTGTCCAGTGTTGATTTTATTTTTGTTTTTGGTTTTATTTTTCTCAAATTTTTCATCCCAGTTACAACTGTTTCATTCTCTGTGTAATTTCTCTGGAACTGAAAGTGCCATAGAGATTTGACCTTGAGTTTTGACCTTAAGTTTTGATCTTGACCCATAGGTAACCTTGCATCTGGTAGCATCGCGTCTTCCCTGAGAAGCACTCCAAACTCAAGTGCCATCAGCTCGCCAGCCAGTACAAGCTCTTATGTGAGCGTGATGAGCTACAACAAACACCAACAGACGTCTGGCATGGGGGGCAGTCGGGTATGTAGAACATCTGTTGTCATAGCAACACAATAACTTTGTTGATTGAAAATAGGATCTAGGGAGGATGTAGATGATTTGTTTTATGCTTGATGGGTGTTTGTGAGGTCAGCAAACATCAAACACCATGTAGTATATCACAGGAGATTTATTAATAAGATAATGTTTTGAAGCAAAATGGATTTTCTTTGATAAATCTTTTATCTGAAATACTTTAGTGTGAATATCTAGTTGAAAAATGGCTGATGTAAAAATACAGTCATCAATAATGTATAGTATATATCTACACTGATATCACACACCATCGACACAAACTATTATCAATTGTAACAATACTTTTGATTATTAATATCACATTAGTATCCCTTTACCTAGAATCAAACTTCATCTCTTCTTCCACCACCTTCCCTTTCTCCACCACTCATTCTACCACCTCCCCTACCTCCATCTCTTCCCCCTCTACCTCCCCTACCTCCTTCTTTCCCTCCATCACCTTTCCTTTCTCAATCACTTACACCACCACCTCCCCTACCTCCTTCTCTCCCTCCACCCACCCCTACCTCCTTCTCTCCCTCCACCACTTTCCCTTTCTCCATCACTTATTCCACCACCTCCCCTACCTGCTTCTCTCCCTCCACCCACCCCTACCTGCTTCTCTCCCTCCACCACTTTCCCTTTCTCAATCACTTATTCCATCACCTCCCCTACCTCCTTCTCTCCCTCTAACACTTTCCCTACCTCTATCTCTCCCTCTAACACTTTCCCTACCTCCATCTCTCCCTCTAACACTTTCCCTACCTCCATCTCTCCCTCCAACATTTTCCCTACCTCCATCTCTCCCTCCAACACTTTCCCTACCTGCTTCTCTCCCTCCACCCACCCCTACCTGCTTCTCTCCCTCCACCACTTTCCCTTTCTCAATCACTTATACCATCACCTCCCCTACTTCTATCTCACCCTCTAACACTGTCCCTACCTCTATCTCTCCCTCCAACACTTTCCCTACCTCCATCTCTCCCTCTAACACTTTCCCTACCTCCATCTCTCCCTCCACCACCACCCCTACCTGCTTCTCTCCCTCTACCACTTTCCCTTTCTTCATCATTCATTCCACCACCTCCCCTACCTCTTTCTCTCCCTCCACCACTTTCCCTTTCTCAATCACTTATACCACCACCTCCCCTACCTCCTTCTCTCCCTCCAACACTTTCCCTACCTCCATCTCTCCCCTAACAATTTCCCTACCTCCATCTCTCCCTCCAACACTTTCCCTACCTCCATCTCTCCCTCTAACACTTTCCCTACCTCCATCTCTCCCTCTAACACTTTCCCTACCTCCATCTCTCCCTCCACCATCACCCCTACCTGCTTCTCTCCCTCCACCACTTTCCCTTTCTCAATCACTTATACCACCACCTCCCCTACCTCCTTCTCTCCCTCCAACACTTTCCCTACCCCCATCTCTCCCCTAACAATTTCCCTACCTCCATCTCTCCCTCCAACACTTTCCCTACCTCCATCTCTCCCCTAACAATTTCCCTACCTCCATCTCTCCCTCCAACACCTTCCCTACCTCCATCTCTCCCCTAACAATTTCCCTACCTCCATCTCTCCCTCCAACACTTTCCCTACCTCCATCTCTCCCTCTAACACTTTCCCTTCCTCCATCTCTCCCTCTAACACTTTCCCTACCTCCATCTCTCCCTCCACCATCACCCCTACCTGCTTCTCTCCCTCCACCACTTTCCCTTTCTGAATCACTTATACCACCACCTCCCCTACCTCCTTCTCTCCCTCCAACACTTTCCCTACCTCCATCTCTCCCCTAACAATTTCCTTCTCTCCCTCCAACACTTTCCCTACCTCCACCTCTCCCTCCAACACTTTCCCTACCTCCATCTCTCCCCTAACAATTTCCCTACCTCCATCTCTCCCTCCAACACTTTCCCTACCTCCATCTCTCCCTCTAACACTTTCCCTACCTCCATCTCTCCCTCCACCATCACCCCTACCTGCTTCTCTCCCTCCACCACTTTCCCTTTCTCAGTCACTTATACCACCACCTCCCCTACCTCCTTCTCTCCCTCCAACACTTTCCCTACCTCCATCTCTCCCCTAACAATTTCCCTACCTCCATCTCTCCCTCCAACACTTTCCCTACCTCCATCTCTCCCTCTAACACTTTCCCTACCTCCATCTCTCCCTCCACCATCACCCCTACCTGCTTCTCTCCCTCCACCACTTTCCCTTTCTCAGTCACTTATACCACCACCTCCCCTACCTCCTTCTCTCCCTCCAACACTTTCCCTACCTCCATCTCTCCCCTAACAATTTCCCTACCTCCATCTCTCCCTCCAACACTTTCCCTACCTCCATCTCTCCCCTAACAATTTCCCTACCTCCATCTCTCCCTCCAACACTTTCCCTACCTCCATCTCTCCCTCTAACACTTCCCCTACCTCCATCTCTCCCTTCAACACTTTCCCTACCTCTATCTCTCCCTCTAACACTTTCCCTACCTCCATCTCTCCCCTAACACTTTCCCTACTTCCATCACTATCTCCTCTGCATTGCCTTCTTCTATCCCTCCAAACAATGGTTCCCTGCTTTTTCTGTATGTCTTTGTGATGTCAAGAATTTACACAGTTCACAGCACTGCTGTCTGTACCATATCACATACACGGTAATGTCACCAGCTAAAATCTATGATAAATGCACTGTGTATAAGGGATATGTTCTTACTAGCATGACTGTACATTTACAATGCATTATCACCACCACTGCTGAGGATAAATAGTCACAATTCAAAAAATTTAATCTTGAAGTTCTCAGCCAATTGATAGAGTGTCACAATATGTACCCTATCATACTTGTACACTAGGTTTTTTTTTTTCATTCTGCCAATTTTTTTCTGTCCGCATATAATCTGCAACAGTATATAGCATCATGCCCAACTCACGAGGGAAGAACTTGTGGCTTAAAATCCAGAAAATACAGCATAGTTATGCCAAAATGGAAGAAGGAAAACAAAAAAGAGAAAAAAAGTGACATTGATCATTTTCAGTGCCATCACAGATTATTCAACTATTTAATATAATTATAATGAAGAGTGTCATTTTAAATATTTAATTTTTCTGGGCTCCAATCTCAAAAATGTCAAAATCTAGGTGATATGAAAACAATTCTTTCTTTAAGCTCTATTTGATCTACATGGTATGAGACAAAATTTTACAACCGAAAATTGTAATTTTATGTGAAATACATGAAATTATGAAAATTAAAACAAGCAAAATCATTCACAGGTTGAAATATTTGTTACACATCAAAATAAAAAAAATCATTGATATATTTATACTGCAATAACCCAGAGGTGAACACAAGCTCTGATTCAATATCAGGGGTGTGTTTATTATAGGAAAGTAAGACCAGGAGTCAATACATTACTTCCTGCAAAGTCAGTGGGTGGGCTTATTATCAGACATGGGCTTATTGTAACATATAGTGATAGATTTTTGTCTGATTCTGCATTATTTATTAAAATACATGAATCTCAAGTACTGTTTCAAGCTTTCAGGTGATCAAGAAAGAACAGATTGATCTTATTGTTGATAACATTTCCATTGTGCACATTTTATCTGTATATGGCAATTGTATATGCTGCATTGCATTCCAGATTTACAGCGCACTTGTAAGTAAAAAGCATATATGCAATGCATTTCAAACACCTAAAAGATACTGATTTGTTTTGATTCATTGTCATGGTAACCTATACTCATCACCTGTTTCATATTCTGCTTGTTTTGTTTGGGGCTTTGATTGTTACTTATCTTATTATCCCTGTCTTTTTTTCCCTTTTTTGTGAAAAGTTAATTTCCTGACAGGGCAAAGGTCATCAGCCATTTTGTTTTTCTCCTATGATTTAGTGTCTGTTTCTAAACAGTAGCGTGTAATTTACTCCATCATAAAAAACAAATCTTATCATCATACAAACAGCTCTCTCCTAATATAACCAGATTACTTCATATCATATCATGTTATTTTATTTGCTTCAATAGCAATTTTTAGAATAATACAAATTATAATACAAATTGTACAATGGAAATATATATACTAAAACGGAAAAGAAACGCCGTGTAACCTAAAAAGATTCTTTAAAATGATATAATTTAATGTTACATTATTTCATTCATTTTTGTATACGATTTCATCTGTTTGGAACCATTTGTTGAAGGTTCTATCGATTATCAATGCTAATTATGCCAAAAATATCCCCCTTTTAGCGATGACCCTACTTGTATTGCGCAACACAGCCGGACATTTCAGTATCTTGTGTGTCCTCCATGCGCAGCTGTCGCAGCCCTGATTCTTCTATGCATGGAATTCATCAGGGTGTTAACATTTGCGATGGGGATGTTATTCCATTCTTCATGCAAGGCACGTGTGAGCTGGACCAGATTAGTGGGAGCACTTGGACGTCTCCTAACTCTCCTATCCAATTCGTTCCACAAATGCTCAATTGGAGATAAATCTGGACTGAATGCTGGCCAATCGATTGGGATTACGTTATTGTTGGCAAGAAATTGCTGACAAACTCTAGCGACAAGGGGCTGGGCATTGTCTTGCTGGAATATCAGGTTCCCAGCTTGCACACATGGCACGGCAACTGGGCGAAGGATTTCGTCTCTATACCTTACGCCGGTTAAATTACCGTCAATCACGATCAGGGGTGATTTAAACCCATAGGAAATACCGCCCCAAACACATACTTTTTTTTTTTTTTTTTTTTCAAACATTTTATTGACTAAGACGAGACATACATAAGATTACAAATGTGTCCTCACACAGGAGGGCTCTCATACTTTCACACATCATTCAGACTTCTCATATTCCAGACTATGAAATACATGTACACACACCTACACACATACTTTTAGTCTTAAATGTTCGTACTAACATTCCTTACATTCAACATTACGACTGCTAACAATAAGCTAAATCTA